GGTTTTTCCCGGGCAGCAGCGCCTCGGGCACAGCCCGACTTCAGTTTTTCAAGTCAACCAGTCTAGGGAAAGAAAAAGAAAAGAAGCGGGGGCGGCCTGACTGCCTCCCTGCCTTTCCTTCCGGGACAGTTAGGCTTTTGGAAGTTCCCTGTTCCCCAGCTTCCAGGATTGTGTTTCGGGGGGCACCAAGGCCGGCCTCCCATCTTTTCCGGTTCGCTCGAGTGATGCCGGCAACGCCCCCCTACAAAACTGTTTTCTCTCGCCAGAAGGGAAACTGAACTTAATACCAGGAGAGCAGACGCAGTTCTGGCTTATTTCTTTTGCCCCTAAGGGTTCACAAAAACACATGTTCACAAATACCGAGTTTTGTTTTTTCAAATTTAACAATTTTTTTCCCCACGGTTGCGCATCCAGGCTTTTAAACCGGAGCGGCACAGGTTCCAAAAAAAAATGAACAAAGAAATAAGACAAAACAGTTCCTGGGGTCACCTATGCCCCTCTTTGAGCACTACGGCCCTTCTCCATCAAAAGGCGCGGGATAATTAGACGCGGGGCTGCTGTTGGAAGGCCACCACTCGCCACGCGCATTGGCGAGGGGTTGCCGGCTGGAGGCTGTGAAGACACCACGGCCAGCGGGTGCGCAGTTGTCGGGCCGGGGGTTTTTTTCGGTCAAACCTGGGGGTACACCGTCAGACACTATTGAACGATAACACTACACAATAAAGACACAGAGGGCAGACGACAGAGATGTGACATCTCCGCTCGCCTTTAAGGAGGCGAAAAGTGGAAGATGCTCACAGCTTTCTGCCTTTGGGGTTTTCAAAGACAGTAACACGCGAGGCTTCGGGGCTCCAATTCGCCTTTCACCCCCCCCTCGCTTCTCGGCGCTATCTGTATTTCACCAAGCACCGGCGGGAGAGCAGCACATATTCTGGAGCGAGAGATTCTCGTCGCTCACGTTAGGCATGGACGCACTCGCGCATCGTTTGCCCTCTCGGTCCGCTGGCTTGCGTTTCCACCCCTGACTCTGAGTGCCCCCCCAACTCTGGGCCAGAGTTGGAGGAGAACAGCGCCACAAACTGATCGCTGATAGGCTCCGGCACTTGCCTGCAATGCTACTGGCTGGCGGAGCATTTATCAGCCTGCGTGCGGACAGCCCGTGACAGCCTCCCCCCCCTACGCACGGGACATACTGTCTCAGGCGGGGGGGGACGATCTTTCACCCACCACCGGGAGCGCCTGGCCCTATGGGCCCTGGCCCGGCTGAGTGGCTACCAATCTGAATACAGTGGGGCCTCCCCCCTCAGAAGGTGATAAACACTATTTCAGGGCACGTGCAAGAGCTTCCTCCACCAGAGTATCTCTGTGACTATAGTGTGGGGTGTTTGAAATGCGCTGCCCTTCAAAAAGGACACATCTCTTTTTCAATTGTACCTGTCGGGGTGATTTTATCATTTCTACAGCGACTCTTGATTGATTAAACTCAGAGCTTTTCTTGGTACCGATCAAAGTAATACCTGGCCTGCTATTGCTGCATGGCCATGTGGGCTTTGAGGATAAAGACGGTTAGGCCCACATCCGGTTGGGTCTGGCCGTTTTATGGAAGGGAGCTCGCAGGCTCCTCCCTGTTTCAAGGTCATCTGGTGCCCTTATGGAGCCTTGACAGGGTTTTAGATTTTGAACCCTGGAAAGGCAGCTGACAATGAAGCCACCTGTCACTGAAGACAGTGCTGTTTTACTGGCCCTGGCCATCGCCTAGCGAGTCTAGCTGATTATTCATGCGCTCTCTGTACATCCTTCGTGCCACTCAGTTTGCCCCGGGGCAACGAGAGTGGTGCTGAGGCCCCAAACCTGCCTTGTGATACCTAGGTGCGTTGGTTCATGCCCTACCCCAACTTGACATTGAGCATTTCCTGCCGGCCTGCCTGTGTTTCCCGGGGAACAGCGGGCCGAATTTGCTCATGTCCAGTTCAGATGCTTTACGCAGCTGTTATGCGACAGGTCAAAAGAGTTTCGTTGTTGTAGTGCCAACTCTTCATATCCTGGGCTAACCCTTTCAAAAAAGAAGGCAAGGGGCCCGTTACTAATCAACTGCTCTCCCACTGGATTGTGGAAGCGATCTGCTTTGGGGCCTATACGAGTCAGGGTTTGCAAGGCACCTTTACGCGGGTCTCCGCTGCTCATTCGACTCGTGGGTCTGGCTCATCCTCGGGCTTTTTTCAATGGTTGCTTTCCATCCCAGACATTTGTTCAGCAGCGAGCTGACTCGTCCTCGCCTCTCACGTTTGTCCGCTGTTTACAGCGTAGATGTCTTTCTGGCTCCAAGTGTGCCCGAGGAGTGCTGGGCCCCCGTGTTGAGACAGGGTTCTTACCTGTTAAGGGTCTGCGTTGGTTTGGTGATTTTCGGAGATAAGCTCGTCTGGCTTCTTGTCCCTCTGGCCCAATACGGGGAGCCTTTCAATATCCCATACGTGAGACATTCGAACGGATTTATGAATGAGAACTATAGGGTTCTTTACGCTAACCCCAGTTCTCAGAGTAACATGCTAGTGAGATGTCTCACCAGACGGCCCCTCCTTGCTAAGGTGAAGTGAGAAGACGGTGGGCTTATTTTGAATGACGCTGGCGACGTGGCGCAAGCTACTTATAGGGTGGAGTGGATTCCCTGACGCTGACGTCAAGATTTACTAGCCATCAGGATTGGCGTAGATGAGCGTAATGAGATTGATGCTTCTGTTTGCTCCGCGATGAGGCGCATCCCATAGTGAGACATCTCACTACATGTTACTCTGAGAACTGGGGTTACGTAAGTAACCTATAGTTTTATCGGCAATTTAATAAAAAAAAGGCCGATACTGATAATCGGTCAAATGCGGAATATCGGCCCCGATAATCGGCCTGGCCGTACTAAGTAGCCTACATTAAAGCAAACATAAAATGATCAACTAACAGCCGCAATCCAGACTTGTACCCATGGATGTATAATAAGGGAAGGTGTAATAAATACTTCACATTAAGTTCATTTCGTGTTCTGTAAATAATGATGTAATGCTTTTTAAAGGCAAAGAATAATTACAAAATATATTTATGGATATATGCTGAGCCCAGAGGAAAATGCTTTTGTGTGCACAACATTTTTTGGGGGGGCTGCCCCAAGCTTATTTACGAAATCCTGGGTACGGGCCTGAGTATCAGTACATGTGCATAAATGTGTCTTGGGTAATCTGATCATAGTGGAAGATCATTGGAGCATAAGCACATGAAATCCATGTTGAACTGTATTTCAGATCCTTGCTGAGATGCTATATGGTAATCTGGTTTATGGGGGAAGGAATAAGCACATTTCATTCTGCATTATACACACTAAGTGTTTTTACACAGTCAATGTGACCAAACAACCGAAACATATAGTTCGTTCTACTGTTTTTCATGTAATACATCCAACAGCAAATGTCTTCCCATTACTTTGGATTTTCCACATACTTTGCTATCGTCCATTCTCAGAGGGACTATTTTCTTCTTAGTAGGAGTAATATTTCAAATGTAAGCATTCACTTCTTTTGTATTTGTGTCCTGCAGAAGTCAAGATGGACATCTGAAAACCAGAGCAAGAATACCCCAAACCATCAGCATGGCTAAAAAGGATAAAAGGTAAGAGGGGACATATTCTTATTGAGTGAGCTGGCTTTTTTATTATGTCTAGCTACATCTTAGACACCATCAACATATTAAACCCCATGAAAAATGAGGCCTGACCCAATACCGGCATTAGCTTTCCACCTGTGTACCGCACAACCTTATCTCACCTCGGGGCTCATGATTCTACCCACTACTTTGAAACGTGTATTATTTATAATAAAGACAAAGGAGTTGAATTTACATCATTGTTGAATTACAATAAAAGCATTTCCAGGGAGTCGGTGAACCGCGCCGTTTGAAAAGTGCTCTGTGGATTTGATGAATAAAAATCCCGTGCGCTCAACGTCAGCTTCAGAGTGACAAATGAACTGTTTGATCTCCAACAGACTGATGCTCAGCTTGCATACCGTGATAACAATACGCTTTGAAGCTGCATCACTGAGATGTGCCTAGTCACTGCGGCCCCCTTTCTCTCACACACACACACACCACAATGCAGAGGGGGGGAACAGAGGAGAATAAAAAGGATGTTAAAACATGGAAGCTGGGAAAACGATGACCTGTGGAGGCATTGTACATTCAAACAGTAACAGAAAATAGACTCATGATTATTTCATGCAACACTTAAAACAATGTTATAAGCAGGCTGAACTTAGCGCGTTATGTCACCGTGCGTGGGCTTGAGGCAGACATATAACTTTTAAAATATGTTGCAGGTTAAATCTGTCTTCATTTAACATGGTGGCCTGCCAAATAAAATGTTTTCAAATTATATATTTGTCAAGCTCAGTGCCAGACTGCTTTGGAAGTTAGATCTGCATTTCAATCAGGCAAACAAAGCTCTCTATTTAGTGAGACGCTGTGCTCCTGCCTTCTGGCGCTTAGCTCAAGTACGAAGATGAAAGGCGAGAAAACACTAACAATGTTGTGAGGCACGCAGAGTAAACATGTGACTGTCTCACATCTCATTTTGTATGTTGGAGGACCCAGTTTGAGGCTGCAGCAGCATTAAATAATAAACAGTCGTTCTGTGGTTAATAGGTAACGGTACGAAGAACCCGGCTGTTAGATGTGACCACTTTAAACTCTGGATCTTCTTCTGGTAGGACCGCGGCCCCCTGACAAAACTAGCTACAACTGAAGCGGCCCCAAGCGACTGCCGCGCCTCCTCCTCGCCACAGTCCCTCCATCGTCATGAAAAATAAAACAGATACAACACCCCCGCGTTAGGGAAGCTTTCAACCTCTGCTCAGCCTCTGCTTTAATATTTCATAGCCTCCTCTTACTTATTTTAGTGGGAATAATTGATCTGGAAAGAGCGCTGCCACGGAGATATGAAAGGCTCTGAGGAGCTGGGCAGAAAAAAAAGCTTCTATTATGGTTTTGACAACTTGAGATTCTGAGGCTTTTTTGTTCGCCACTGTCTGGCTCTGCACCGGCAAATGAATGTTAAACAACAATTTGGGATTTGTTAGGGAGGAAATGCATTTTAAAGTATAGCTGCATTCAGAAAGACACACTGTTCCACATCTTATTTACCAGCTAATGGATAGGTTTCTTTTAAAGGTGCATGCAAGGGTTTGTGTGCTGTTGTCAAGAAAACATCCCCATCAGTGAAACCTCACTCACTGCAGTACTTTTACTTAGACAATATCTACATTACAAACAAATAAATGTATTCAGTTCTTGTTTATGGGATTGACGGTTATTGTAAGCATTGTGTTCCTTCTTATTCTAGTATGGCAACATGGGGAGTCTGGAAACACAATTGATTCTTTCTCAGGCTGAGGGCTAAGGCCACCCAGGGCCAGGCAGTATTTATCGATTCACAAAAACACCTCCAGAGAGATGCACCTGCAAGCATCTGGGCCCTTGTGAATTCCCACTGCAACCCAGACTAATGATTTGTAGCAAAATGAAGTGTGTCTCAGGCGATGTTTGTGGGGGAAAGAGAAGGAAAGTTAGGTAAACTAAGTTTCTGACAGCGGCACAAAAACAAATAAAAAGGTCTTCTCAGAAAAACAAGAGGTTGACTCATCCGGCCATTTACCCCACCGAGGGTCTTTATGCTCTGACAATTATCTCTGTTATTATCGAAAGATTTTCTGTTTAAAGTGATGGAAGAGGTATTCAATATGTTTCTGTGTATGTGACGCTGAGTAAAGGAAATATAATACCTCAGTGACTGGTAGCTCTGCAAGCCAATGGCAGGCCAAGACAAATAAAGTCAAACGGCCATTTATCATGCTGACAGTTGAAATCCCATCTCAGTAATTACAGCTGATGGCCAGCCTTAAGATCAAACGAATAATTTCAACAGATGAACAAATGATGTGGATCCAGGGACCATGGATTTCTTTAGAGATCAATGAACTTCATCAGAAGGCAAGTTGAGCTGAAAAACAATAAACAATTGTTTCACGTCCAACAATACATTTACTGCATGTGATGGATCTGGACAGCCTGGCCACCTTTCTCCGGGACACTGGAGACAGGATGGAATTAGAGTGGGAGACAATCGATGCACTGGCGAGAGGACAATCCCTCCCTAAACGCTGTTCTACCATTGACTGGTAAGCCACTTATCATGCATTGTAACTCCATCTCTCATACATTATGGGTTTATAGATAACAGCGTTTCTTGTAGAAGCTGCGATTACATGTAATGGTACTTTTTTTTTTTATATGTGCGGTGTAGTAAAACCTTTGACTAAAAATAAATTATACCTGATATTGCAGTTTACATTTTGGGAAATGCAGTATTTTATTATTTATTTTTACATGATTTTATTGTGCTTCATTGTCGCAATTTAGGTGGAAATATAGATCTATTTCTGTAGCCGTATCGAGCACCGGTTAGCTTAGTATGAAGGTAGATATGGTGCAAAATGCGAGAGCGTGTAAAACCTGATGTGAGCACTTGCAGAAAAAAGATCTGAGCTTGTGTGCATACATTTACACTTGTATAAAATATCCACATAACTGTGAACCAAATTTGAAGTCACAGAAGAAAAAAAAAAGTTTTGTAGCTTTTAGAAAAAAAATGAACTTAGTGATGAAATATTCACTTGCAGAAAAATACATATTTTTTAAATATATTTTCCATTACAACTGCAACTTGGTTATTACAACCTCTCAAATAAGTCATTACAACTTGACGAATCTACTCTGTGGCAGTATAAATCGACTAATCTGCGGTCTTGACTTTTGCTACACTTCTTGCGATAAATGTGTCGCAAAAGTAATTTTCACCTGTCGATCAGCTGTAGATGTGGGGGGAGGGGGGGGGGTTGGAGCGAAGGGTCGGAGCTATCAGAACGACGAGGCTTGACTGCGGGGCTAACGGTTGTGTCGCTACCAGTCCGCTGACATGGCGCGTCAATCAACGGTAAGTTTTGCCCATTACTTGCCCAGTATTACTTTGAATATTATTATTGTGATTGAGGATTAAATCCGCTTTGAAGACCACCGTTTTATATCGTGCAGTTTAGCGGCAAAATAACTTCAGTTAGCCAGCTAACGCTAGCTTTGTTGAGTTTATGCTAGCTAAACAAGTAGTGGTTGTAGTCTACAGCAGTAATCAGTGGCGGCCGGCCCATAGGGGCGCTAGGGGCGCCGCCCCACCTCTTCCCACATTACAAATTAAAAT